TTTGGCTCCACAGCAGCAGTCAGTGGGGCTGGAAGGGAAATATTTGCTTTAGGCTCGTTGGAAGATGCAAAAGCTCCTAAAGCAACCCGATGGCTTTGAAAGGAGGAGGGAGGGAGGGGACTGCTGTTGTCTTTGGAAGTGCTTCTCTACCAGTTCTCTGCTGGGCACCAGGATGTGAGCAGAGCTGCAGCTGCATCAGGCTCCGGTTACTCGGTGCCTCTGCTCAAGCAGGGAGGGGGGGGGCAATGATGCATGGAGCCCTCTGAGCCTCTTCCCAATGGGAAACGTCATGGAGTGAGTGGGGAAGGTGGTGGGGGCTGGACACGATGGGTACCTGCTCTCCTTGGGCCTTGCCTGTGCTGGGTCCCCGGGGTGATGCTGTTGGGAGAGAGCCGAGGTCAGCCTTTAAGGAATTCTGCTGGAGCGAGGCCAGAGGAGGCCACGGGGATGAGCAGGGGCTGGAGCAGCTCCCGCATGGAGAACACTGGGGCTGGAGAAGAGAAGCTCAGGGCAGCTTCCAGTGTCTGAAGGGGGCTGCAGGGATGCAGGGATAGGGCAAGGGGTGATGGGTTCAGACTGGAAGAGGGATGTTCAGCTTGGAGATAAGGATGTTCTGCCCTATGAGGGTGCTGAGGCACAGGGTGCCCAGAGAAGCTGTGGCTGCCCCATCCCTGCCATTGCTCAAGGCCAGGTTGGACACAGGGGCTTGGAGCAAGCTGCTCCAGTGTGAGAACTGCATCACCTTAAGGTCCTTTCCAACTCGAACCATTCTATGATGTGCTTGCAAAAGCTGATGGGTGCAATGGCTTTGGCCCTGCAGGTTGCACACCCTGCAAGGGGTGTGCTGGACCCAAACTCATAAGGTGAATTCAATGGGAAATAGGGAAAGGGGGGGCAGAGATTTACCGCAGCTTGGGTCTCTTTGGCCTTCAGCTCCTTGTGCAGCCAAAAGGGTGATGTGGGAAGGTGAAGGATCCGCCCCAGGGCCAATGTCACTGCTGCCCTGCTCTGTGAATGTGTCCTTGGGTCCTCGGCCCTATCTCTTTCCCCTTTGTGCCGGGCTCTTGGGCAATCTCCTGCCTGCCTCCCCTGCCAAGCTCTGTGAGTGCCTGGCAGCAGATTAGGATCGTGCTGGGTGATAACATTGTTCCTTGGGGAGCAGATGGATGGGAGGGAGGGAGGGGAGGAAACAGGAGCCAAATGGCAACGGCCGGGGCCTCAGCAGGAGCAGGAGGTGTAAATCAGAACGGCTTTGATTTATGTGGGTGCTGCCAGCCTGGTGGGGCTTTTTCCCTGCCTCATTTACACAGCAATGGCTCGGAGCTGCGTGTGCCCTTGGTGTAGGAGCGGTGCTTAGGGGTAGGATGGGCTGGGATGCACCAAGGACCTGCTCTGGCACAGCAGGAGCGTGAGATCGCTTTCATTCGTGCACTTCCATCCCAGGAAAACCCATCCCGGTTTGTGCCTCGTGTCACAGTACAGTACCCCAGTATCACAGCATCACAGTATCACAGCATCATCACACTGTGTTAGAGATGGGAAGGGATCAGCTCATCCAGTCCAATCCCCCTGCAGAGCAGGAGCACCCAGATAAGGTTACACAGGAATGGGGTTTGGATGTCTCCATAGAAGGAGACCCCACAGCCTCCCTGGGCAGCCTGGTCCAGTGTTCTGTCACCTCACTGAGAAGGAGTTGAAGTGGAACCTCTTGTGTTCCAGTTTGCACCCATTACCCCTTGTCCTATCATTGTTTGCCACTGAGAAGAGCCTGGCTCCATCCTCGGGACACTCCCCCTTTATATATTGATATACACTAATAAGGTCACCCCTCAATCTCCTCTTCTCCAAACTATAGAGACCCAGCTCCCTCAGTCTCTCCTCATAAGGGAGATGCTCCACTCCCTTCATCATCTCAGTTGCCCTGCGCTGGACTCTCTCCAGCAGGTCCCTGTCCTTCTTAAACTGGACCCAGTATTCCATATGGGGTCTCACCAGGGCAGAGTAGAGGGGAAGGAGAACCTCTCTCACCCTACTAACCACCCCCCTTCTAATACACCCCCGGATGCCATTGGCCTGCTTGGCCACAAGCATCTCCCAGCTGCTCCCAAGCATGGATGTAGGGGGGAGCCCTTGGAGATGGGGGTGCCACGGCTCCTGCATCCCTGCTCCAGAGCCCGTCCCTCCCAGGATGGTGCCGCTGGCACAAAGGCTCCGGAGCAGGATTGAGCCCTCCCCACGGCCTCACCCGCTGCGGGTGCAGCTCCCACGCAGCAGCCCCGCGTTGGCACCCGAGGAGGGGTTGGAAGGGGAGGGAGATGCTGCGCGGAGCGGAGCGGAGCTAACCCGGGCCAGCCACAACTGGAGGGGTTGGGAAAGCGGCTCCAGCCCCTACGGAGGCGGCCGGGATTCGGGTTACAGCTCCTGCATGGACCCGCCTAGGGGAGGACCCAAGGAGGGCCGGCTTGAGGCGAGCTCTCGGGAGCAGGAGGCAGCGTTCGGGAGCGTTGCGATGGGGTTGGGAAGCGCGGCCGGAACGCTCCTGTGAGGGGCTTGGCTTTTCCCCCCTGTATCCCTTGGCTTGCGCCCTTGCAGCGATGGGGATCTCCTTGCTGGATCGCCGCCCTGCCTTGCTGTGGTGGGGAGCGCAGCGCTAAGGCCAGCTCCGGGGGCGGTTGGTTGCGCTTGCAGGTAAGAATGCGTCCTCTGGGGTCAAAGTTGGGCTGGTTCTGGCTTAAGCACAGCCTTGGTTTGGACGCTGGGGCCGTGCGGGGTAACGCAGCTCGGCTTCGAGCCCCTTTACGGAGCCGTTGTGGGGGCACGGGTTCAGCCGCCGATCCCAAGGGCTGGATGCGTTCCCGGGTCTCCCGGGCGTTTTCCACCCCCGCAAGCAGGGCACGGGGGGGAAGCGGGGCCGGGAGGAGCCTTTTCCACCTTCCCCTTTAGGGGGCAAGGGGGCTCCGAGCTCAGAGCGAGCCGGGAGGAGGGAGGGGGATAACGGGGGTCGGGCTCCGGGGGATGCGCAAGGGCTTGAGGCTGGAGTGGGCTCGGGGGAAGTGCGAGGAGAGGCGGGGATGGGATCGAGGGGAAGGGGCTGCGGGGCTGCGGGGTTGCGGGGCTGGAGTCCGGCTTCCCAGCGCTGCCGAGGAGCGCAGGGCCATGGAAGGAGAAGGGGGCTGCCCGAACAATGGATTCCTCCGGCTCCTTTGTGCATCATGGCACCAGCCCGGCTTCGGGCTCGGTGCTGCGGGCAGGGTGTTCCTCTTCCCCTGCTCTCGGCTAATGGCAGGGTAGCAGTGAACCCTCACGGGTGGTGGTAACCTCTCGGCCCTTCCTGGCCTCGTTGCATCGCCCAAACCCGGTTTGTGACCCACGTTGGAGCCTCAAACTATTCCCTGGGCTCCAAGGGGGTTTTGCCCCAGCAAAGGAGCCTTTAAGCCTCAACGTCTGAATGCTGAGGGGCTGCTTCTCTACATTGGAGTGATGCAAACGCAGGCCACGGCCCCTTTGTGGCTTAACACAGCTCTAATCCCCCCCCCCCGGTAGACACAGCGTTGAACAAGCAGTGTAGGATGCTGTGAGGAAGGGTCACAGTTTGCTATGGGGCATCTCATAGCTGGGGAGCCTTTAACGAAGAAGCTTGGGCTGCAGAGCTCAGTGGCAAGGTTCAGGCTTGTCTTGGCTGGATTGAATCCGGCTCAAACGTGACTGAAGGGATAAGACCTGGAGCCATGGGCACTGTGGTAGGTGAATGGTGCTGGATATGGACAGCATCGTGCGGGCTGGGTATGGGCCGGTGCTGTTCCACTGGGATCCTCGCTGTCCCAGCTCTGCTTCTGTGACTGGTGCCACTTGGGTTTCTCCTCTTCCCATGTGTGTGATGCTCAAGTGGTTTCCTGCCACCGGTGGCACTTCCCTCTTGGCATCAGAAGGGCCGAGCCTTTGCTCTGTTCTGGCTACACCCTCTGAAGGCGGCATCCACCTGCCTGTGATTCAGTGTCCTCACCCTGGGCCTTCCTCCCTTCCTGGTCCTCCCATTGCTTCCCCCAGTTCCAAGCCAAGTCACCTCGTGCTGTGTCAGGGGAAGCCACTGGGATGCCTCCATCCCCTGCGCTGCGTCTGGACCACACGGTTCCTGAGCATCCCATGAGCTGCAAAGCGAGGAGAGATGGGTTTGTGACGTGGTGCTGGCTCACGGCTCCATCCCCTGGGGCAGCTCGAGCCCCCCCCTGCCTCCTTTGCCTTCCCTTCCCATCAGTATCCCTGCAGCCCAGACCCCCCCATGTCCTGGGCTGCATCCCCAGAGCGTGATGCTGAAGCATCCCAGGAAGCAGCAGTGGGAAACTGCTGCCTGGAGAGTGAGGAGCATGGAATGAACACAGACCCAGTCTGTGCCCCTGAGCTGTGTTTTCGGTTGGAGGGTGACTTAAAGTGACTTAGGAGCACGCTGGGTTTCCTTCCCTGCGTTAAGAGGGCGGCGTGGTCTGCCTTAAACCCTCCCTGAGACTGAGGGTGATGGCTGAGCTCATGAGAGGAGAGGCAGAAGCAGTGACTTCATCTGCAGGACGCACCAGGCGAAGGAAAAAGCGTGTCATCCATCACTCATCACCTCAGTGCTGCGAGGAAGGAGGCTCCAAACCGGGTCTGCCCTTCCCAATGGGGCCTGAAGCCAGCCCTGACTTGAGATTTCCAGGCTCTGGGTTAGGAAAGGAGCAGGAGCATCCAATGGGGGGTGTGTGTGGGGGGTGTCATCCCATGGGGTTGTTTGTGCTGCCCCATGGCTGTGTGGTCCCCAAGCGCTGCAGGGCTCCCTGATGCTCCAGCTCTATGGCTGGTTTTGGTTGCCTTCTTGCCCCTGGTTTGCTTTGCAGGGCCCAAGAGCATCTTTCCCTGCCCTGCTCTTTCCTTCTCCCTTGGCCAAGTTTGGGAAGGGCTTTTGGGAAGGAGCAGCAAGCGGTGCCCGTGTCGGGCCGCGCGCTCAGCATCTCCCCTTGTCCCTCTCCAGGCCAGCAGCAATGAAGCACTGCTTCTACAACGAGACCGTGGGCTTCTTCTACAACAACAGCCGCAAGGAGCTGACCACGTACTGGAGGACCAAGGATGTGCTGGTGGTGGCCTTGGGCCTGACGGTGAGCGTCATCGTGCTCCTCACCAACCTGCTGGTCATCACGGCCATCATCATCAACCGCCGCTTCCACTACCCCATCTACTACCTGCTGGGCAACTTGGCTGCTGCAGACCTCTTTGCTGGCATCGCTTACATGTTCCTCATGTTCCACACCGGGCCCAGGACAGCGGAGCTCTCCCTGAAGACCTGGTTCATCCGTCAGAGCCTGCTGGACACCAGTTTGACGGCCTCCGTGGTGAACCTGCTGGCCATCGCTGTGGAGAGGCACCAGACTGTGTTCACCATGCAGCTCCACAGCAAGATGTCCAACCAGAGGGTGATGATCCTCATCTTCTGCATCTGGGTCACGGCCCTGCTCCTGGGGCTCATCCCATCCTATGGCTGGCACTGCCTCTGTGCGCTGGACAAGTGCTCCAGTATGGCCCCGCTCTACAGCAGGAGCTACCTGACCTTCTGGGCCATCTCCAACCTGGTCATCTTCCTCATCATGGTGGTGGTCTACACGCACATCTTCATCTACGTCAAGAGGAAGATGACGCGGATGTCCAAGCACACGAGCTTCCACCCGCGCTACAGGGAGACCATGATCAGCCTGGTCAAGACGGTCACCATCATCCTGAGTGAGTCCACAGCATGGTGCTGGGGGGCCTGGACTCGCTGGGGTTGATGGGGTGGATGTGGCCAGGCCAACTGGGAGCACTGGGGAAAGGGATGCGCTGCTTGCCTGGTGCTTGGGGAGCAAGGGGGAGGCTTTGCTTTGGTGCTGCTGAACTGGGGTTCATGAGCACTGTGTGAGCTGGAGCGTGCCCTCCTGCATGGGTGCTCCTTGGGTGAATAGAGATGAGAGGAGCTGTTACTGATGGGACCCAGTGACACCCGAGTGCTGCAAGTGATGGGACTTGGGGCACAGAAGCAGTTCTTAACGTGCTGAGCTCCAGCCTGCTTCCTCCATAGAGGGGTAGCGTGGAACTGGGAGCCGTGATCGAGGAGCATCCTTTGTTGAAAGGATGCAGCGGGGTTTGGGGCAGCCCTTCCAAGGTGCTGGGGAAGGAATGAGGGAGTCGCAGCCAATCCCTCCCTGTTGATGGGCTGGAGCATTGGACTCTGTTCAGATGGCTTCCTTTGAGCAGCTCGGCATCACCAGAATGGGTTGGGTTGGAGCTCGCCATCATCCGGGGCCAACCCCTTGCCATGGGCAGGGACACCTCACACTAGGCCATGGTACCCAAGCCCCATCCAACGTGGGCTTGGACACTGTGGGGCAGCCACAGCTCCTCTGGGCACCCAGTGCCAGTGTCCCAGCACCCTCCCAGTAAAGAACCTCCTTATCTCCAAGCTGAACATTCCTGTTCCAGTCTGAACCCATCACCCCTTGCCCTACCCCTGCTGAAGGTCCCTCCCCAGCATCCCTGTAGCCCCCTTCAGACACTGGGAGCTGCCCTGAGCTCTCCAGCCCCAGTGTTCTCCATGCGGGAGCTGCTCCAGCCCCTGCTCATCCTCACGGCTTCCTCTGGCCTTGCTCCACCCCCTCCATGCCCTCCTCATGTGAACAGCAGCCGCTGGGATGTGCTCTGTGCTCTCAAGAGCCCATTGCTCCAGGGGTTCCTTAAGGGAAGCCTCAGCTCCTTAAAGCAGAAGGGAAGAAGCAGAGTGAAGGAAATCCAAGCGCTGCAGCCCAGGCCCATGATCCCAGCCCTGTGCTTGCCAATGTGCCCTGGGGAGCCCTGTGCCAACCCCTCAGCACCCCCACAGGGAAGAGCATCTCAAGTGCTGTCACTCGCCTCCCCATCAGTGCATTCACAGGGGTACCAGGGTCAGGGCTCCCTATGGACACGCCGTTCCCTCCAGGAGTGCAACAGGGGAGATCCATCCCTGGCATCAATTGGGCGACAAGGTCCAGTGTGAGGTGTCCTGGAGGGGGGCATCCCTAAGGGGTTGGAACTGGGTGTCCTTAAGGTCCTTTCCAACCCAAACCAGGCCGAGGAGCACCCCTTGAGCAGCAACCCCCAGGTCCTTAAAGCAGAAGGGGAGAACCAGAGTGAAGTAAATCAAAGCACTGCACTCCAGGCCCATGATCCCAGCCCTGTGCTTGCCAGTGTGCCCTGGTGAGCCCAGAATTGGGGCTGCAAACAAAGACCCCCCCCCTTGCAAGCTCCCCTTGGTGCAATGGGGCTCAGCACAGGGTTGGGGGGGGAGCTGTGCTGTGTCCCTGCTCCGGCGCTCGCTGCCTCACTGGGGCTTGTTGGGACTTGTGAGCATCGAAACTGGAGTTTTCTGCCTCTTCCTGCTTCCCTTTGATGCTGCTTCCCACTCCCTCCATCACCTGCGGGCAGATGGGAGGTGGGTGGTTACTGCCTGGATGCTGCATGGATTCACCCAGTGCATGTGTGTGGATGTCTGCAGTGGAGAGGAGCAGCAGCAGGCTCAGCCCATGCTGGCCTCAGGGCTGCTTAACCTGATGGGGCTTGCCATGGGCTGGAAGAGGGTTGGCAGGATGGGGGTGCTGGCCAAGGAGGGGAATGCAACCCCCCTTGTACTGGGAGATCCCCTTCCTCTTTGTCTCCTGCATTGAGTGGGGTCAGGAGGAGGCTTGGGGGAGCTGCTGTGGTTCCATAGGGACCTGGGGCTGGTGCCTGAGGGTGATGAGGGCGGTGAGGAACCTGATGGAGGGAGACTCAGGAGCTCCTCGGGGCTATGGGGCTCTTCCAAGCCAAGAGGGTTCCCTTCCTGCAGGGCAGCATCGGGGAGGAGCAGCACTGGGTTCTGTATGGGAACAAGAGGGAGCTGCTGAACTCGAGGTGGGGGGAAAACACCTTACCATTAGGGAAAACAACACCTTTTCCCTTAGGGAAAACACCAGTTTTCCATTTGGGAAAACACTTTTCCATTAGGGAAACACCACTTTTCCATTAGGGAAAACACTTTTCCATTAGGGAAACACCTTTCCATTAGGGAAAACACCTTTTCCATTAGGGAAACACCACTTTTCCATTAGGGAAACACCTTTCCATTAGGGAAAACACCACCTTTTCCGTTAGGGAAACACCAGTTTTCCATTAGGGAAACACCAGTTTTCCATTAGGGAAAACACCACCTTTTCCATTAGGGAAAACACTTTTCCATTAAGGAAACACCACTTTTCCATTAGGGAAAACACCTTTCCATTAGGGAAACACCAGTTTTCCATTAGGGAAAACACCACTTTTCCATTAGGGAAACACTTTTCCATTAGGGAAACACCACTTTTCTGTTAGGGAAACACCTTTTCCATTAGGGAAAACACCTTTTCCATTAGGGAAACACCTTTCCATTAGGGGAAACACCACTTTTCCATTAGGGAAACACCACTTTTCCATTAGGAAAACACCTTTTCCATTAGGGAAACACCACTTTTCCATTAGGGAAAACACCACTTTTCCATTAGGGAAAACTCCTTTTCCATTAGGGAAACACCAGTTTTCCATTAGGGAAAACCCTTTTCCATTAGGGAAACCTTCCCATTCGGACTGGGTGCTCAGCAAGCTGCGGCTGCAGCTCCTTCCCTCCCTAAAGCCCTACTCTAATCCCTTCCCCACCCTCATTCCCCAGCCCTCTGCAAACTTGGACTCTGCACAGGGAATGCTTTGCGCCTTATGCATGGGGAGGGTGAGGCACTGGGGAGGAAGCGGAGGGTGCGGGAGGAGCAGGCAGGGATAACCCTGCTGGTCCGGGGCACTGGGACCAGTCTAGGAGCTGACCTGGGAGCCTGGAATGAGGCCAAGGTGTAGCTGGGAAGCAGGGGGAGGTCTTCCCACAGAGCAGTTGATGGGATGTGCCCAACCCATGGGGCTGAGGCTCTGCTGCAGCACCAAGAGGTCAGGTTCTTGCTGCCTCCTGCAGCTTCCATTGAGGAGGAAGGAAAGGGCTGGGTTTGCAGGCAAGGAGCTTCCTTTGGGTTTCCCCTTCTTCTCCGTGATATTCCTTTGGCTTTGCTTAGTGCTGCTGGGTGCCAGCCCCGAGGGAATCTGCTTTCCCTTGTGAACGCTGAAACCTGGCCTAAACAAGGTGAAAGCACAAACCAAGGAGATGCCTTTGCTGCGGGGCCAGGTCTGGCTTTTCCTTTGGGACAAGCAGGAATCCCCCCTAGCTGTTAAATAGAAAGGAAACCAAGTCCTGTTTGCAGGTTAAGGGGGGGAAGATGCCTGAGGCTGGATGTGGTGCCTGATGGGCTGAAATCCCCTCAAGTCCACAGGGGATGCTCCCAGCATCATCCCTGGGCATCCCTCCCCAGCGCTCCTTTAGCCTTGCAGCCATGGGGTGGGTTCATCCCCTCTGCTCTGGCTGCTGCTGTTTCCCAGTACCAGGGTTCCCAGCACGTCCCATTCCCTTCCACCCTTTCCCAGCAGGGTGCAGCTCCCCCGCTTGAGGCCACAGCCAAGGAGCACCCATGGGCGAGTGCTCCATTGACGTCAGCCTTGGCTGGAGGAGGAAGGGCTTGAGGAGCTGCAGCACCTCCCAGTCACCCGGTGCAGGGCAGCAATTACCCTTGTGCCCAAGAGCTTTGCAGGTGGTGGCAGGAACACGGTGCCTGAATGAGCGGTGGAGCCGGTCCAGCTCAGCTCCTGCTCTTGGCCAGCCCCTTGCTGGCCTGGTTCCTGCTCAGCTGGGAGCACTGGGAGGCTGCTTCTGCCTCAAGTGTTGCTTAAAGCCCATCCTAAAGCCCTTGTGAGCTGTTTGCACACTGGGGGTTGTTGCTCAAGGGGTGCTCCTCGGCCTGGTTTGGGTTGGAAAGGACCTTAAGGACATCCAGTTCCACCCCCTTAGGGATGCCCCCTCCAGGACACCTCACACTGGACCTTGTCGCCCAAGGGATGCGAGGGATGGATCTTCCCTGTTGCACCCTTGGAGGGAACGGCGTGTCCATAGGGAGCCCTGACCCTGGTACCCCTGTGAATGCACTGATGGGGAGGCGAGTGACAGCACTTGAGATGCTCTTCCCTGTGGGGGTGCTGAGGGGTTGGCACAGGGCTCCCCAGGGCACATTGGCAAGCACAGGGCTGGGATCATGGGCCTGGGCTGCAGCGCTTGGATTTCCTTCACTCTGCTTCTTCCCTTCTGCTTTAAGGAGCTGAGGCTTCCCTTAAGGAACCCCTGGAGCAATGGGCTCTTGAGAGCACAGAGCACATCCCAGCGGCTGCTGTTCACATGAGGAGGGCATGGAGGGGGTGGAGCAAGGCCAGAGGAAGCCGTGAGGATGAGCAGGGGCTGGAGCAGCTCCCACATGGAGAACACTGGGGCTGGAGAGCTCAGGGCAGCTCCCAGTGTCTGAAGGGGGCTACAGGGATGCTGGGGAGGGACCTTCAGCAGGGATAGGGCAAAGGGTGATGGGTTCAGACTGGAACAGGGACGTTCAGCTTGGAGATAAGGAAGTTTTTTACTGGGAGGGTGCTGGGACACTGGCACTGGTGCCCAGAGAAGCTGTGGCTGCCCCACAGTGTCCAAGCCCACATTGAAGATGCTCTAATGAAGCGTCCCTGCCCCATAGCAGGGGCTTGGAACTGGAGGAGCTTTAAGGTCCTTTCACCCCATCCATAAACCACCGGTGCTCCCCCTGAGCATCTCTATAGCGCAGGGCCAGGAGCCCAGCTCGAACCGTTCCCTATCGGCGCCCATTCTCTCCCCAGGTGCTTTCGTTATCTGCTGGACCCCAGGCCAAGTGGTGCTCCTCCTGGATGGCCTGGGCTGCAAGAGCTGCAACGTGCTGGCGGTGGAGAAGTACGTGCTGCTGCTGGCCGAGATCAACTCCCTGATCAACGCCATCGTGTACTCGTACAGGGACAGCGAGATGCGCAGCACCTTCCGCAGGATCCTCTGCTGTGCTTGCCACAGCAATGCCAAGTACACCCCCACGGCGGTGAAGCTGAACACGGCCGACCGCAGGACTCTGTCCCAGAACGGGCACTTCACTGTGGATTCCTCTATTTAGCCTCTGGATGAGGATGGAGCAGAGGGAGCAGCGCTCAACCCTTGTGGCTAAGGGAGAAGAGAAGATGCTGCTGATGGTGCCTTCCTGAGGGTGAGCACGCAGGGAGTAGCGTTCCCTATTAGACTGCTGTTCCTGACCCCGGCTGGATTGAATGGAGCAGCATCCCCAGGCGTGCTATGGGAACGTCCCACCGAGCAAAGTATTCGGTACTTCAGTATTACTGCCTCCAGGAGCTGGTCCAGCACCAGCATCCCCCCAAAGAGCCAAAGCCCTTCAGCTTTATGCCTTGCCTCCTAAGCAGAGCTTGCTTTAGTGCTTCCCCAGAGAGCCCTCTTGGGGTTGTGTCCCTGCTTCCCAAAGCCCATCCTGAAGGCCTCTTCAGGCAGCAATGGGGTTGGATTGCTTCCCGAGAAGCAGATCCCTGCTTTCCAAAGTGGTCCGGGCTTCTGGAGGGTGTCTTAGGAGCACCCAATGCTTTCCTTAAGCTGGAGAGGGATGCTCTTGGTGTTCTGCTAAGTGATCCCATGTGCTGTTCACACACTCATTGCATGGAGCGAGTCCTGCTCCTATGAAACCATCTTTCTGCTCGCTGGAAGCCCTTTGGGGACAGGGTTAGGTCGGATCCTATGGGGTTTTAATGTGCAGTTTGTACCTTCATACTCCAGGCTCAAGAGCTCAGTGTGGTCAGAGGTAGCCTTGCCCTCAGCAGAGCCCTGTGAGGAGTTAGGAGGGTTAACATTAGGCCGTGTGCTCCTGTGCAAGGCTGGGGTTGGGATCCGGGTTGAATTCATCATTTTGGGGTGGTTTCACTGGGGTTTAACCTTAAACAGCTCCCTGAGCGCTCACCTCCGCTGGCGTTGAGAGCAGCCAGCGCTCCCAGAGGCACTGATGCTCAAGCGTGGGCATGGACCGGTTCCTGCGGGATGCAGTGGGGAAGCGCCAGCGTTACGGTGGCGGTCTCTTGGATCAGTATAAACCAGCCCTGGAATCTGGTTTCCCACCTCTGTGTCCCAGAGGCTCTTTTGAATAAATGCATTCCCCTGGGTTTTAGAAAGGAAGATTTGGAATTCTTCCCTCCTTTCCCCCCTTCTCCCTGGGAAAAGGAGCAGCCCCTTACGTGATGCTGGGAGGGGAAGGATGCTGCCCTTCGTGCCTGCATCCCTGCAGCCTCCTGTGCTAGGAGCTGCCTTGGAGGCAGGTTCTCCTCAAGGGCATCTCAAGACTTGGATGTGGGTGTCTGGAGGGGTGGGAGCATCGGGAAAGGCCATGGTGAGAACTGGAGGGTCATTGCCATGCAGCCAACCTCAGTCCATTGCTTGCAAGCACCAGTTTGGCAGCTCTGGGCACCCACCACGCAGTGGTAGGGCTAAAAGAAGGCAGAATCCTCTTTGGATTTGCCAAAGATGAGTTCTAGTGGCCTTCTAGTCGCTGGAAAACACTGGTTTGGCATGCAGGTACCCACTGGGGTGAATGGAGGGAGATGCTAACAGTGACCTCATGGAACACTGTTCCTGGGGGTGCTGGAGCTGGGGCAGAACAACCATAGGCCTTGCTTTGAGCATCCCCAAAGCAGGAAACACATGAGTCCTACTTCACACCACGTTCACTTTGCAGTTAAACCCATGCCAAGCAATGCCTTTACAACTGAGAGGGGGGAAGGAGGCACGGGGATGGTTGGGGTGGCCTAGGGGAGGGGTTAGCACCAGTCTGATTTAACCAGGGGGATGCATAAAGAGCTGACTGTACTGCAGTGGGGTGAGGTGACACTTGGCTCCTAAGAGAACTGCACTTGGCTTTTAGGCCCCATTGGGCCTTTAACCCATTCATGTTGTTCTAAGGGGTTGGAAGGGACCTTAAAGCTCCTCCAGTTCCAACCCCTGCACCTTCCATAGAGCAGCTTGCTCCAAGCTGGCCTTGAACACTGCCAGGGATGGGGCAGCCAAACCTTCTCCATTCACCCCATCCCAGTGTCCCCAAGGAAGAGCTTCTCCCTGAGAGCTCATCTCCATGTCCCCCCCGTCAGGTTCAAGCCATCCCCATTGTCCTGTCCCTGCATCCCTCATCCCAAGCCCCTCTCCAAGTCTCTTGTAGCCCCTTTTAGGCACTGGGACCAGCAGAGAACATCCTGACTGCTTCAAGGATGTCAGTGCTTCCTGTACAAACATGGGCTCTGCTGGGTACCGTCCAAGTGCAGCTTCATGCATGACTTCCCCAAGGTAAATAGCACCCGATCAGGCGAGGAGGAGGAGGAGGAGGAAAGTCACAGAGCTTTAATGGAGCTTCTCCGAGTGATGGCTGGCTCCCATTGGGAATGAGGGCAGCTTGCCTGGTTCTTCAATGAGAGCTTTGGGATCTGTGGGTTTCTGCTTGTGTCCAGCTGGCTGCAATGGAAGGGAAAGCAGGAAAGGAGTCCCAGGCATCAGGTGGGAAAGTGCTGTTTTCAGGGAGATGGGGAAGGAAAGGGTGAATCAATGAGCAAGGAGGACAGGGGAAGGGGGTTGACACCCCATAAACGGTGTCTATAGAACACGTGTCGCAAAAGAAGAGGGATTTGGGTTTATCCCCCGGGTTTTCCTTGGAAATACAGGAGTGCTGTGTATGTTCCATCTCCCATTCCGTGTCCTTGCCAAGGCCCTGCAGCAGAGGGTGCTGGCTGCATAGAGGGCTTTAAACCTAACATTATAGCTTTATACACAGCTGGCTGATGTCGGGTTTATGGGATAGCTTGTGTTTTAAGCCATGGAACTGGGTTGGAAGGGACCTGAAGATGGGCAGGGATGCCTCACACCAGGCCACGGCACCCAAGGCTCCATCCAACCTGGCCTTGGACATTGCCATTGATGGAGCATCCACAACTTCCCTGGGCCCATCCCAGTGTGCCAGCACCCTCACAGGGAAGAGCTTCCCGTTGTCTCCAACCTGATCTTCCCTGTTCCCTTTTGAACCCATCACCCCTTGTCCTATCCCTGCTGAAGGTCCCTGATGAAGGCCCCTCTCCAGCATCCTTAGCACAGGGTTGGAATTGGATGATGTAAGGCTCTTCCCAACCCAAACCATTCCATGATCCTAAACCAGTGCGTGTGTGCTTGGCTCTTTGGAAGCACGGGAGCCCGTTCTGGTTTCACTGTGGGTTGGGAGGAAGGAAGGAAGGAAGGAAGGGACACCCAGGAACTGTTTGCAAGGGCTGCAATGCGGGCCAAGGGAGAACACCCAGCTCGATCAAAGAGAGGCCCTGTGGTTCCAGGAATGAGAGGTCGAGTCTTCCGGCTGGCTGGAATTCCTGAAGGGAGCCAAACGTGAGATGGATTTGGTGTGGGTTTGGAGAGGGGGGGGAGCTGGTGCTGGGCTCTTGGCTTTTAAACCTCACTTTGGCGTCTCTGCCCCACTGAGGGGTGGAAAATGAACACGGAGGCTGCAAGGAGCAGCCCAGACCCAAGGGGAAGCCGCCGGTGGTTGCAGCACGTTGAGGAGGCACGGATGGATGGATGGAAGAGCAAGGTGGGTGCATACGAGCAGCCGGCAGGGGATGGGGATGGTATTTGGGGCCGTGAAGGTGTAAATACCCCTTGGGCAGAGGCGTTCACAGCCAGGTCCGCGGCTGCTCTCCAGAGGGAGCTCGTCCTTTGCGTGCTGCTGCCTCCCCTCGCTCACATCGCCAGCTCCATCCCATCCCTGCGGACGGCATCTCCCTGCTCTGTGGCCTTCGGCTCAATGCAGGACCCATCAGTTGGCAGCTGAAGCCGTGCCTTTAGCTTGGAAACGAACCTTTCCCTCTCTTCCCCACCGCTTTCTTTGTGCTGACAGCAGAGAATTCCACCCGGCTCCGTTCCCAATGGGAATGCAGAGGGTGATTTATCAGCGAGCTTCGGGCAGCTCCCCCTCCTTCCCCATTCCCTTGCCTGCATCAGCAAGAACTTTCTGCAAGCCCATTTAATTCCTTGTCATCGTTGAATCCAGCTCCGTTCCCCCCTTTAGTGCGAAGGGGAGGCGCTGGGTTCTCGGTCACTGGAGTAAAAGGCTGTGGAATACAGTGCTGCCTCGGTGGTGCTTGTTCCCTGTGGCACCAGTCAGCGTTCCCAGGGCCACAGGCTCAGAACCTGGGAAAATCAGGTTCCCTCATTGTGCACACCTGATAAATACGGATGCAGGGAGCCAGGATTTGCTGCCTTTGGGGTCTTAAAAGGTGTTTTTCCAGAATTCCCAGTGTTTTATGCAGGAACCTGCTTAAAACAAAGCCTCGAAAGCCCAGGTCTGTCCCACACTGAGGACACAAACTTCTAGCTCATAAACCCAGGCATGTGCCTAAATGGAGGTCCCAGATCTGTGGTGTTAGGTTGGAATGAAGGGAAGAGCTCTGGGTGCTGTAGAGCTTTTCCATTACACTGGGATGCACTTGAACCTACCTGAAGCTGTATGGTAAGCACCAGTTATCAGGGGTCTGTAGGGACAGGCCAAGGGGAATGGCTTTAAGCTGCCAGAGGGGAGATGGAGATGAGCTCTTAGGCAGAAGGTCTTCCCTATGAGGGTGGTGGGACACTGGGATGAGTTGAATGGAGATGGTTTGGATGAACCACCCCTGTTCAAGCCCAGCTTCCTCTAGCGGAAGGTGCCCACGTCAAGGGCAGGGGGTTGGAGCTGGCTGAGCTTTAAGGCCCCTTCCACCCACCCCATCCCCATCCCCATCCCCATCCCCATCCCCATCCCCATCCCCATCCCCATCCCCATCCCCATCCCATCCCCATCCCCATCCCCATACCCTGGGCTTCCCCCTGCTGGTTCATTACCGCCCGCCTCAACAGAGGTCAATCACGAGGGGAAGGCGGGGTCGCGATCGTACCCGAGCGGGCGGGCGGGCGGCGCTAGGACCCAGTGCCGGAGGCGGGGCACGCCGCGGCGGCGGCGGTGGGCGCTGGGCCCTGTTGTGCGGCAGCCACCGGGCCCGCACCGGCCCCGCCGCCGCCCCCGTCCCCGTCCCCGCTCCGTTATGGAGGAGCCATCGC